GTAAATGTATTTCTCAAAGGTACTATTGAGATTAAACTCTCACCACATGTCAGTAATAACTCATCCAATCACATCCAAAGAAATCAAACGACAGATGTCCATAAAGTTATTTGTAACATTAATTATAGTTTTCTTGTAAACATGTACCTGCTGATTCCAGCTCTTTCTGCAGCTCTCCACATGTTCGTTGGTTCTTGGACGACTCTTCTTATGATTTAACTCTGTCTGAAATCTTGCAGGAGCAACTGGTCCCAGCCAGTTTATGGTGAAATGATCGCTAAGCATCCTTAGACATTTGTGCTAATTGCTGCATGTTTGTTGTTATTAAAGCTCTGCATGTGTTGCAAGTGGCTCTAGTAACGTTTAAATTATTTTAAACTGATGGATTATTATCCAGACAGTCGTCTCAGGTGACATCACCACTGTTAAGCACACAAAAGATAATTCATTCCTGTTTTCTTCCTGTTTAATCAGCTGCTTCTTTTCTCTCCTTCAGGTTTCCAGCCTCCTTTCATCCCTGACAGTCCTCGTGGATTGTAGGACCACCCCTGTCATCGCTTCCTCCCACCTGGACCTACAAGTGGCTTCATCTTGGCTTCATCTTTATCCTTCCTTCTGCATCTTTTTCGCCCCTGTCCCACCTCCATGGTTCTCTTTTTATAATGTGTGGCTGGATGACCTTCGACCTTTCAACCTTTCAAGCAAACTAATTCTTAAGCAAGAGGCTGCTGTACTGTGTGTGTGAAAATGGACTGGTGTCACATGACAGGATATAAATGACTGCTTACAGAAGCTTCAGCCACCAACACTTCACGCTCATTTCAATGATCGCTTGTGGAAACTGCAAACTCTCAAGTGCCTTGTCCTAAATGTTGCCCCGGGGCAGAAGGTTTCTTTCAGTGGAAATATGATCTGAGCAGTTCCCTTCATTTTATACCACAGCTGCACTGCTCCAAATATTCAGTTCTGATGAAGAGTCGCCTCCTGTTACCTTTGCGTTTGTTTAAGCTAAAGCTCGCTGGTCTTGTTTCCTGCTGTTCATACTCTGATTTCATCGTTTCCACTTCCTTATTTGTTTTCTTTTTTCAGTCCATTTCTGTTGCATCTGCTGTCCCCCCCCC